ATTTGCTACCATAATAAATAATGCTTTTATAAAGAAGAAAATCTCATAAAGTAAATTAAAGATATATTGTAAAAGGTGAATAAAGACCCACTTTTTAGTGCCAGTCCTGGCACAATGAACTCTCCAGCTTATACTTCAATAAAACCAGTTAATAACAGCTTTGTTAGCCACATTATAAATCTGAAATGAAGCAATGAGGGATAAAACTAGCAAGCAGGTCATAAAATATAGTTCCTCCTTGTTTGGGGTGATTATCGCTCTAGTAAGCCACAGTCCAAACATTATAGCAGCATGTGAGGACTTGGAAAAATAAATAAATCTCCAGTTCTTCTTTACATGTGCATGTGTATTTTGAAGTTCAACATGCTTGTATCAAATGTTATGCAAATCAATATTTAAGAAATATTTAAGAAAACTTGTTCTGTTCAGGCATTATAGCTTGAAAGCGGGTAGGGCTGTAACCATGGCAAAAGTGGGGAAGCACATGGAAGTCCCACCCGGACACCTTCCACCCAGATGATAGGACCCATCCAGACTGGTATGTAGATCAGTATATAGATCACTGTTGGTAAAGCTTGGTTGAAACCAAATGATGATGACACCCATGCACTTTTCTACTTAGATTGATCCATCCTGCCTGTTTAAGAACTGCCACACAGCTTTCTGGCACAGTGCGAGGGCAAGTATTCTTTCTAACACTATTCAGGACAATCCTAAGTAATTTGTTATGTAGCCTGTGCAGATGGTTGGTTCATACCCAAACGGAGCTGTGGGTGGCGTTACCAGAGGTGACAGCCCTGTGATGTATCACATGGGTTGCGACATTAAAAAAAGGAGGATAGAGAAACTCCCTCGTTTATTTTCATCGTCTTTTTAAAAAACCAAACACCAGTTCCCTAAGTGACACAGCACAATTCTAATTCCACACTCCACACTGTCCTTTCGATATGCCATTTGCTTCATTTAACAAACAAACAAACAAACATGGAAAGTCACTGTAGCTGGCTGAATGAGGACTGCCAGAAAAGGAAGGCAAGGGGGCGATGTCCAGTCCATGGACTCTGCCCCCACAAGGCAGCACAACCCCAGCAGAGTCCCAAATGATGAGAAAGGTGAGGGAAAGGGAGGGTTGCCTCCCTTTCCCATCTCCCCAAGCTTCACCCTAATGTTTTCTCCTCACTCCTGTACCACCACCACAAGCTTGCTCATCTGCTGCCTCCTTACTTGTGAGTAAACCAGGTGTTACTCATGAATAAGCTGGGTAGACTTACATGTGAGTAAACCAATGACCAAGATTTGTGTGGACCCTTCTCACAGGAAGATAAACACCTCCAGTGTGAACAGAAGGATCATTCAAGTGAGAGATAAAATACATGGCACTGAAATAAGAACCTTTTATGTGTGAACCAGACCATTCCAAATTCCCCTGTCTGGACAGGTCCACAGTCAGACCGTTGTGAAGGTCTGAAGAGGTAGATGCAATTGCACTTCTCTCGCTTACACTACAATTCAACGGACTGATATTGTTACTACCATCACCTAGAATAAAAATATTCCTAGCAAGATAAAGCCATAGTAAGGCATCAGAGTCTGGCATTTCACACATTGTTGTGACCCCTGTGATAAATGGGGAGCTTTTGATAATATATGTTAAAAGGATTAGACATTGTAAAGGATTTGATGGTAGTAGCCAGTGAGCTGAAAACATGTTTTAGAAACAGTTCTATATGTCCTGCCCTCAAGTTATAGTTGAATCTCAGTCTGTAGCCAAGCTCTGTTCCATCTGGTGTCTTTGAGATATGCAGAACTACAACTTACATCATCCCCCAGCATCAGCCATATTAAATGGGGATGATGGAAACTGGAGACTAATGCATCTAGAAGGCGTGTGGCTTGGGAATGCCCCTATAGTTCTAGCCTAGCAAGGCTGTGCTCATTACAGAAAAGGGTTGCTCTGGCATAACTGTATGAGAGACATAAATAAGAAGCATTTCTTATTGATGGAAAGTAATCACTCCATGTGTATTATGCTTTTTAAAAAATGTTGTGGGCAATAAATGTCCATAAATGAATGCAACTCTTTATATTAAGACTCATCCAATTCTATATTATGTCTAAATTCCAAACTCTAAGTCATATTGATTGAGTGGATTCATCCTGGACATTTTATCCTAGTACCTATAATTAAAAGTGTTACATTTGCGTGAGTCAATAATCCCATCGTTCACCTCCTGAGGCCCCTCATTTCATTCTCATATTCTCTATACATAGAAGAGCTATTTTGTAATTCAGCTCTAATTTAATATGCAGTGTCTAGTAACTGCATGTGTGGTGTACATCTCAACTCATAGTTACTATTGCAGTTGAAGAGAGAGGAAAAATGAGGCTCACGCATCAAGCATCACCCTGGGTAATCTCAGAATGGCCCGATGCATGTAGTATGAGCTACTAACACTATATCTGTTGTTCTTGTTGTTTAGTCGTTAAGTCGTGTCTGACTTTTTGTGACCCCATGGACCAGAGCATGCCAGGCCCTCCTGTCTTCCACTGCCTCCCGGAGTTTGGTCAGATCTTGTTAAGTACAGTGGTGCCTCGCTTAATGGGTGCTCCATTTAGCGATGAAATCGCTTAGCGACGACTTTTTCGGAGCGTTTTTGCACTTTGTTTAGTGATGGGCCCTATGGGCGATTTTCGCTTAGCAATGGTTGGGACCATGCTTCGCATAGCGATTAAATTTTGGGTCCCCTGTTTCGCTTAACGATGGTTTAAACAGCCTCATGTTTGCTGTTTTTAAAATGTTTTTCTGTTATTTATAAAGTTAAAGTTTACTGTTTAAAATGTTTGAAATCATAAAGTGCATTTAATAAACCCTTTGTTAACCAAATTTGACTTTGTTCTGACTCTTTTTTAATTTGTTGTTGTATTTTCCCCCATTGAGATGCATTGAATAGGTTTCAATGCATTTCAATGGGAAACTGTGTTTCGCTTAGCGATGAAATCGCTTAGCAGCGATTTTTTCGGAACGAATTAACATTGCTAAGCGAGGCACCACTGTATATGATTTTATAATTAATATTCATTTGCCATCAAGTCAATTCTGACTTATGGCAAACTTTTCCAGGGTTTTCCAGGTAGGGAGTACTCAGACATGGCTTACCATTCCGTTCTTCTGGGGGCATTTTGGGACTGTGCAGCTTGCCCAAGGCCACACAGGCTGGCTCTTTTGGCATGTTATGTGGGGAATCAAACTCCCAACCTCTGGCTCCAAAGTCAGAAACCTGACTCACTTAGTGATGATGTTGAGGCCCTGTAAATCTCACATCTCTGATGGCAACACAGTTCCTTGTAATAAGTTAGAATGCTACTGGTGAGTAGTTTTTTTAATTGGAAAATCTTAACTTTCCAGGATTAAAAATCAGACAGAAGGGGCTCTTCCCTTCACAAAGTTGACCTCCCACGTTTAATGAAGATGCTATCAGAGGAGGAAGGGTCTATTTCACTCACCCCCATGTGTTTACCCCAGTGGTTCTTAACCTTTGGTCCTCCAGATGTTTTGGACTGATATTGCTATTGCTTATTGCAATCCCTCAATAAGGTTTCTATTTACTATGTACTCATCACATAAAATGGTGCTTTGTGAAACAGTTGGGGGATATCTAGGAAGCTCAGGCTGTGATAAAAGTTTATATTACTGTAGAAGCAATTCTGCACACTCCTGGGAGTAAGTCTCACTGAACTTAGTGGGGACTCATTTCACAGTAGACAAATTCAGGATTGCACTGTGAATATCCAGAGGCTGCAAATGTCAGTGCAGCATGGTTAGATCTTAATGGAAGCAGATTATTTCACACACAAAGAAAACAGTAGCCCAATGTTTTGATACTGAAAAAAAGGTATCAAAACCAAAACATTTACTCATGCAAAATAATGTCATCCCCATTCTCATTTAACTGAGTGGCATCTTCATTAAGGCAACATCAATTGATCTACTTATTTTCATTATCACACTGCCTATTTACAAGGTGCATGGCTGCCTCAAGAAAAATTAGTTGCAATAGTTTTTTCCCCAGTGAGTCAGGTAATTGGGAAAGAGCAACTATGAATGTCCAACAGAAAGAGGTAAACACAGAGCAACTCCACGTCCAAGCCTCTTATTTTACCCATCTATCACCACCACCAATTTTTCTGGACAGAATTTTGGCACAATCTAAATTAGAGCCACTTTTGAGCTTTGTGGCAAATAATACCTGGATATATAATTTCACTTTCAGTTTCTGCAGCACCCTCTTTAGTGATTGACCATTTCTTATCATTGTTACTTCAGAAAACCATGAGAGATCACCATAGATATTTGTTCTGGATTTTTTACTCCTGATGGTAAGCCACTTTTACCATTCAGTTTGTATGTATCCTATCCCACGCTCCAGATCTATATAGCACCAATAACCAGTGGTGGACCCATATTTTGGGGACCCTTCGCAACCAACAACTACATCTGGGTAACCATTCTTATCTTCTTCAATGAGGTTGTTCCATGACAGATCACCACTTTTTTTATTGTGGTCTAAAGTCACTTTTGGAGCACCTCCAAGATTAGAGGCCCTAAAGCCTGACGTTATGTTAGTTCCATAAAAGATCCACCTCGTCCCGAACTTTGACTGGCCACAATACATCAATCTATTTGGACCCATTTCTTGGATATGCATGTGTGTCAAGCAATTTTGAGTATAGAATAATCAAGAATTACAGAAGTATCTAACATTAGCTTGTGGCCATGATGGTGTGTGTGTGTGTGTGTGTGTGTGTGTGTGTGTGTGTGTCTGTCTGTCTGTCTGTCTGTATGTGTGTGTGTGTGTGTGTGTGTGTGTGTGTGTGTGTGTGTGTTTGTGTGTCTGTGTGTGAAGAACCCAAAGAAGCAATGGCTTGGATTTTCCAGTACTGCCCTTAATGCAATAGTACTATCAGCAACTACATGTGTAACAGTGCTGTACATAACTTACTGGAACAAGGAATTTTTTGATTTCTTCCAAGGCATGACTCATCCGTGAATAAGCTTCCCCGGGTGGGGCAAATACTTCAATTAATACATGAAGTTCATCACTCAAGTGTCCATATTTGGCTTCCCCACTCTTCCTTAGTTCTTCTTCCTGTGAAAGAAGGTATTTTTAGAAATAGAAATCTACTCATTTTTCATTGACAGAGAAAACTACAAAAGTGCATAATTGAGGCAGACTTTCAACAAAATGAGGCCCTTTGAGGGCGAAAAAGGGAATAAATTACTTGAAAATCTCAAAATTGCTTTCGAGTGTCTGATTGATAAAAAGTAGCATAATTAACATATACAGAAGATTTTAATCAGGAAAGGGAAAAATGCTAAATACCACCCAGGAACATGTTGAAATTTCATGATGGAGCAATTTGTATTTTTAAAAGGGCACTGGGTTCAGAACAGTTTTTCTAGAATAGCTGGTACTATGTACTCTGAGAAGCATATTCTAGGATGTTGGGGGCAGGATAAATTTGCTTAGTTGCACAGGACCAGAAAAATTGTTCTAAGCAATTTTATGAAGTATTAAACCTTTCCATCAATAAAGAAATTTCCCCCAAAATGTGCTGGGAACCACAATTAATATTCAACCAATTTTTATTTGTTCTTGGATTATTTGACACAAGCTTTTCATTTGGCATAACCTTTCATGGATTTCATCCCACTTCGTTGCATCTGACGAAGGGGCCAAGAGTCTATAAAAGCTTAATCCAAGTAAAATGTTTGTGCATGTGTGTTTACAGTGCCATAAGACTCTGTAATCTTGATTAGTGCAGCGCTTCTCTTCCTGTGGGCTTTTCCAGCACTGGTGCCTCTGTGACATTACAGTGGTGCCTCGATTTACGATTGCCCCATTTAACGATGAAACCGCATTACGATGAACTTTTTGCGATCACAAAAGCGATCACAAAACGACGTTTCCTATGGGGGAATTTCGCTTTGCAATGATCGGTTCCCTGCTTTCGGAACTGATTCTCGCAAAACGATGATTTTCGGCCAGGTGATCGGCAGTTTCAAAATGGCCGCTGGGTAAACAAAATGGCCCCCCGCTGTTTTCTGAGATGGATTCCTCGCTGCACAGGCAGCGAAAATGGCCGCCCTATGGAGGATCTTTGCTGGACGGTGAGTTTACAGCCCTTTGGAATGCATTAAACGGGTTTTAATGTGTTTCAATGGTTTTTTTCTTTTCGCATTACGTTTTCATTCTAAAGCGATTTCACTTGAACGAATTAACGTCGTAATGCGAGGCACCACTGTATTGGGGACTTCCAATAGTTGCTACCAGACTGTAGATTCTTGGACTTTTATTCAGTCATCCCATACTAAGAGCATCAATGCTCAACAGAGTTTTCACAGAGGAAGAAGGGATAGCCTCTCCCTGTGTGTTAGCCTTTAAACCTTGATACACAATCTGTGTTTCAGCTAAACTGCATAATGCACTCAAGGCAACAAACAGCTGTCATTGCTAGTTAATTTATAGATTCAATTTTTTTTACAGAATAGGGGTCCAAGACGGCTCACAGCAAAATTAAAAAGAAATCCAGAAAAAAACAGAAACAAAAACATATCTGAAGTAATTTTAAAAGACATTGAAAGAGCTATAATATCAAAAATATTACTGCACACCATAGACATCAAAAACATTAAATGATAAAACATTAATAACTATGTGTTCTTGAAGTCTTTCATAACGAGGATCCAATGGTTGTTGTGGGTTTTTCGAGTTATTTGGCTGTATTCCGGAACACATGTTCCAGAACACAGCCAAACAGCGCGAAAAACCCACAACCACCACTAATAACTACCTTAAAATCTCCAAATGGAAAAACCTGCTATAGTCAGCAAAAAGCCCTCTCATTCAGCCTCCAGTGTTCTCTATTACATGCTGGATAATTGTATCAAGAACACAGAATATCATTGCCTGAGTACTGGCTGCAGGTTTACATGTATGCTTATCTTGTACCCAGAAATGCAGAAGAGGTGCTGCATATATTACTCTCAAAGAATTATTCAGATTTCGACAAAAACAACATTTTAACGTGTCGTTAACTCCACTAATTAAATTTTAATCAATGAAGGTACCTGCTTTTGAAATCTTGTTGCTACACTAGTAGATTCTTTAATATTATTAATATTATTGAATTGGTATGCTTTTCCACAACTCCCCAATACCATAAAACTGTTTTATAAAAATATATAGCAGACCATCATACACACAAAAAAATGCCATACACAACCAAATTAAAAACCACTCAACAAATCTTATGCTACAGTTTCTGTATCATTTTCTCCACATTACTTCATATTATTGGATGAAAACACCTCAAAGAGCACATTTTCGAATGAAAAGCTAACTGGCTTTTAAAACATCCCTCTTTGCATAGCAATTTTAATAGCTAAAGAATGAGCAATAGAAGAATGTTTAGCATTATCCAAAATATGTCACCTAAGAAAATACTGTACTGTATTCTTTCTGTCCTCCTCCTTGAAAACACAATAAAATATATAGATAGAAAAATGTATCCTACAATTCTTCTCACGAGAATATATACATATTAATGCAGCATATCTTAAATACATAGTGTTTAGTCTAAAAAACTGCCTAGGAATCTTCTGAAGTATGAGGTGTATGTCAAATGATTTTTTAAAAAAACATACAAGTAAGTAAAGTATTAAATGGATAAGCATTTCATTAAAATGGAGGGAACCTGTGCTTCATTTTAATTGGATTATAGCCTTCTGCACATTGTATTCAAATTTATGATTTCACATTGACAAATGTAGATCTGCAATTTGTTGATCTTTGCCATTTATTTCTTTATTCTTTATTTCTTCACAACACATACATGCCACCTTTTAGGGCAAAGCCACAAACAGGTAATTAGCTTGACACATACTCACTAAGAACATGGTACTGTATTGTGTTTGGTTGATTAATGCATTTGATGATATTGATGAGGATTATAGGGGTTCTGCCTGTAGCAGTATTGAAAATGTCACTTGGGATATGGAAGCTGTGTTCAAGCATGATGGAGGGACTCCTGATAGGAGATTCCCTGCCCACTATTCAGTCCCAATGGAGGTGGGCCTACTGTGTTGCTTTTAATGGCATGCCCATTTTGACACTGTGAGAATCTTCTCCTGACTAAACTTGAACTGGTGGCCAACCAGCAGGTTCCTGTAGTTCTGTGGAGGATCCAGAAAGCAGCTGTCTCCTGGAAGCTCAAAGCACAGCTAATTCCTCAGAAGCCCCCTGGAATCCACATGTAGGAGGACCTAGTGGAGCTATATTGACTGCATGAATTCAGTTGATATGATTTACCCCACTTCCTCTAATCTACAAAGGAGCAGTTCCTCTTGAAGCTCAAAGAATCCTGTGGAGAGAGTTGGGTCTAAAGGCCCATAACCTTCAGGGTAAATCCCACCCTCATTTGGGTTCAAGTTGGAAGTGAAACAAGAAGCAGGCTGTTTGCTTCTCTTCAGACCTACTGCATCAGATGGCTTCAGGTTCATGCCTAAATGGTGTTCATTTCTGCCGGTGTTTCCTGTTACAGTGTTTCCAGCAATTTCTCCATATGCAGATTACTATACCTTTATCAATTTCATTACATGCCCATTCTTTTTGACACATTTCACTAGAAGAGATGTGGAGGAAGCAACTAAATTTCCTTCTGAGAATCTCTGAGAACATCTTCATGCCATTTCCTTCTTCTATTTAAAACTGGGCATTTTATCTCTAGCAGTGCCACAAATCAGCTGCCACAGTATTTCACTGAAATTGAACGGCTGTCAGATAGGCAGTAAAAATAAAATCACAGCAGTAATTCCATCATTACAGAGATGCTGCCCACAAACTGAAGAGTTCAATTTTCTCAATCACGGAAATCTAATGAACATTCAGTCATTATTTATATTCATAACTTTTTTCCTGGACTTTGGACAAGGAGATGCAAAACTGCCCCCATTTCAATTTTGATACAAATCTGCTTTGTCGGTTTGTAGTAGCACTCTTTTTTAAGCAGTGGGCTTTTAAACTGTGTTTCAAAAGACCAGAGGCCTTTTCAGGCATCCCATCTATACATTTATGCAGTTAGCTTTTCAGATGTCTTTACATTGGATATCTGAAAAAGGATGTCTATGCATAAGAGCTTTTTAAAAAACATTTATCTTTTTTGGACTACTTCTACCAGAATCTGGAGATCTTAGATATCCATCTTCCAGAAACTGGGAATTCTTTATATCTCTACTCATAGGATAGTGCCATGGCTGTACAGCTAAAAAGCAGTCCAACAAAGGAACATTTCAAAGTTCTCCTACACATGGGTGGTGTATGCACACAGCTCTCAAGAAAGGGAGACAAAAGTAGGAAAAAGCCTCACTTTAAGATAAGCTGGAGAAGTTAATTCTTTCTCTCAAAATGACCAGACAAACAAGTCTGCTCTTACATTCCAGGTCCTGAACAGTAAGCTAACTTTTCTATCATTCATCTTGTATTCATTCATTGAGGTTCTTCAACCTGACGAACATTTTCTTTGTATGCGTGGGAAATAAAGTATTTTGACTGCTTTGTTCCCTCAACCCCATAATTCAATTATAGAAACTCTTTCAGGTTCATATACCTCCTTTCAGAAAGCCTGCAGAATACAAAAGGCAACTAACACTGGGGTGGAGCCAGTGGGACCCTTCCTTTTCACTTACGGATGCACTCAGCAGTGCCTGAAAAAGATTCAAGAGTCTCTTCAGAGGTTCCAAGTACAGTGGTGCCCTGCATAGCGACATTAATCCATTCCAGGATTAACGTTGCTATCCGGATTCGTCGCTATGCGGGGGGGGACCCCATAGGAACACATTAAACTCCGTTTAATGCGTTCCTATGGGGAAAAAATTCACCGGTAAGCGAAGATTCCCCCATCTGGCCACCATTGTCGCTTCCCGTTAAGCGAAGGCAGGGCGCGAAAACGCTGAGGGTGGCCATTTTGCTGATCCGGCGGCCATTTTTGAACCACCGATCAGCTGTTTTATAAACAACGCTTACCGATCACCGCAATGCAATGTTTAGCCTATCTAAACATTGCAATGCAATCGCATTAGCGATTGCAA